GAAAGAGGTATTCCTAGTTCTGCACCTTGTCTGTGCTCCATCCTGTGGTCTCAGCCCTTTTCCACACTGACTCGTGAGAGAGCAAGCATAAAATGAGAACAGACTTCCAACTTTGCAAGCTTTTCCACAAACAGGGGGCACACAACTCACTCTTTCATTGTGGATGTCGCCAAGCATTGTGGAGGCTCGTATCACATCGAGGCTCTGGAAGTTGTTTCTTGCGATTTTCACAACCTTTTCTAGGTACTTAATTGCTTCTGTCATCTCGCCTTGGCTGGAATGAAATGGGAAACCGTTATTGTAAATCACAGCGTTGTGAAAAGAAGGAATTTTGTGTCTGCTGTAAAAAGTGGGAGTGTTGGTCAGATAGTTAGATTTACAACACACAGTGCATTTGCAGACACATGCTCAGGATGTTAGACTTACAACACACAGTGCGTTTGCAGACACGGCTCATCTCTGTCAGAGAATACAATGAGTTAAAACTCAAAACTTCTTAAGTCATTCTTTTTAATTCTATACACCGTTTCCACCCCATCCTCTCCTTACTACAACTTCTCTCATGTCCCCTCCACTCCCTCCCAAAATTCATAACCTCTTCTTCTTTCATATCACTTTACACACACACATGCACACGCATATGCACACGCACACACACGCTCGCATGTGCACACACATGGCCCTACTGAGTCCATTTAATGTTGCTCATATCTGTATTTTTTAGGGATGATCACTTAGGATTGGATAACCTATCTGGGTGCTTGTCTCTGGAGAAGACTGAATCCCCCTTTCTCAGCCAATAATTGCTTGTAGCTCCTTATTAGAGCTATGAGATTTCTATGAGGTTTCTCCCATCCACAGCAGCATGTCAACTGGGGTTACCATTCTTCAGATCATTCTCAGGTAATTCTAGTTGAGACACCAAGGGTGCAGCTTCCCTGTCATGTATTGAGGACACGACCTCACTGTAGACATTCTGGGCCTCTGGCTCTGGCAGCCTTCCCACCCCCTCTTCTGAGATGCTACCTGAGCCTTTGGTGCAGATGTGTTGAAAGCTCAGACTTGTAAAGCCTCATGAATTGTTGGTGTGGATGGAAAATGGTCCTACTGCTTTAGAAAACAAATAATTCTTCAAAGTCTGTAACACAGAGTAAATGTGAGGTCCTGAAATTTGACTGAAAGATATTCAACCAATAGAAACAATCACATCTTCACACAAAAACCCATACATTATTGTCAGAGCAGCCTTATGAATAACAGCCAAAGAGTAGACACTATTGATATGTTGATCAGTTCATGAGTGACTCAGAATGCATTATGTCCATACAATGGAATATTACTTTGCCATAAAAATGAAGTACTGCTGGGCAGTGGTGGCACACGCCTTTAATCTCAGCATGTGGGAGGTAGACACAGGTGGATCTCTGTGCGTTTTTAGGCCAGCCTGGTCTACAGAGCGAGTTCCAGAACAGACTCCAAAGCTATACAGAAAAACTCTATTTCAAAAAACTAACTAACTAACTAACTAACTAACTAACTAACTAAATAAATAAATAAATAAATAAATAAATGAAGTGCTGATACCAGATAAAGACAAAACTTGAAAATAGTAAGTGAAAAGTAGACAGGAAGACAATATATTGTGTATTCATTTTCTATTGTGTGAAGAACAGCCACATCAACAAAGACAGAAATGACACTAGGAACTGCTAGAGGCTGAGAGAGGGGGATGAAGGGTGATTAATGGTCCATACAGGATTTCTTTCAGGGATAATGGAAAGTTCCTGAAATCAGAAGGTAGTCATGGCTACACAATTCTGTGAGAGTATTAAAACCACTGACTTGTGGAATTTAAAAGGAGAATTTGTATATAATTTTATTTTAAAGTATATAAAAAGTGAAAATGCTAGATGGGCAGTTCACTCCTTTAATCCCAGAACTTGGGAGGATCTGAGTTTGAGGCTAGCCTGGTCTATGCAGTAAGTTATAGGCCAGTCAATGTTACATAGTGAGTGAGTGTGTGCGTGAGTGAGTGAGTGAGTGAGTGAGTGAGCGAGCGAGCCAGTCAGCACCCCCCACCTCTCTCACACACACACACAAACACACAAGTGAATACTGTTCTTGTAAGTGTCTCTCAACAGCAAAATTGCAGGTCTCAATAAAGTCACACATATACATTCTAGCAAAATGCTCAAAGAAACATTCACTTTCCAGCAGAGTACACAGCATGTACTGGTCACTTAGACACATTTGAAGGAAGGCGCGGCTCAAAGGTGGATAGGAGAAAGACGTGGTGCACAGGAGGGAGTCTCAGCCATGTGGATGTTTGGAGTTCACAACTCATTTCAGTAACATTGGGGACTTCATGAGAAGGAGCACAGCTCAGCTGGAAGGGCATATGCCTGGTGAGCACAAGTCCTGGGTTTCATCCCCAGCACCACATGAACCGTTTCATCCTAGTACTTGGGAGGTAGAGATGCTGGCATTAGAAGGCCATCCTTGTGAGTTACAGGCCAACTTGAGATACATGAAACCATGTCTCAAACAAACAAGCAAGAGGTGCAAATTAGGAGAGATCGATTACGGACTCTTAACAACTTTCAAAGATTATTTGGAGACATTTCCCATCTATGAACTATTGCTGGGGTAAAAAACAATGAACTGAGTAATTTGTTCAAAACCTTAGAAGGTGACAAGGACTTAAATCATCCAAGAGAATTATCACCTGAAGCTGAGAAAGAACTGGCCTTGGTAGAAAAGAAAGTACAGGAAGGACACGTGGATCGTGTTGATCCAAAGCTGGATTGCACTTTTTTTAAAAACCCTCTAGGTAGTCTCCTACAGGAATTTTAATGCAGAGGGAAGATATTATATTGGAATGGATATTTCTACCAAATAAACAGAGTAAAAAATTAAAAACTTATGTGGAAAAGATCTCTGACTTGATTTTAAAAGGACAATTGAGACTTTGTCAATTAGCAGGAATAGACCCAGCAGAAATTGTCATACCTTTAACTAAGGAGAACATTAAAAAATTATGAGCAGAAAGTGAGCTTTGGCAAAGAGCTTGCAGTAATTTTTGGGGAGAGAGTAACAGCAAATATCCAAAAAGCGATAGAATTGAACTTACAAAGACAGCTGATTGGATTTTGCCTTGCATTGTATGGAAAACACCCATATCTGGAGCGCGTACATTTTATACAGATGCAAACAAATAAGGCAGGTTACAAATCAGAAAATTTAAGTAAAGTGGTTCAAAGTCCTTATAATTCTATTCAAAAATCGGAATTATATGCTATTTTGTTGGTATTAATGGATTTTTCAGAACCTCTCAACATAGTTACCGACTCTCAGTATGCTGAAAGAGTGGCATTACATATTGAGACTGCAGAATTTATCCCTGATGAGTCAGAATTAACTTCACTGTTTATTCAGTTACAAGATACAATCAGGAAAAGGAGTCATCCTTTATATATAACTCACATCAGATCCCATACTGCTCTGCCAGGTCCTCTAGCACAAGGTAATGATAATGATGAGATTGATAAATTATTGATAGGAAATGTGCTGGAGGCTTCAGAATTTCATAAAAAACATCATGTCAATAGTAAAGGTTTAAAAAAGGATTTTTCCATAACCTGGCAACAAGCCAAGGAAATTGTAAGGAAATGTCCAATTTGGAAAATTGAAATATGTACACCATACTATTGATACTTATTCAGGATTTCAATGGGCAACTGCTTTGAGTTCTGAAAAACTTTAATCACTCATTTGCTAGAAGTTATTGGCCATCATGGGTATACCTGCACAAATTAAAACTGACAATGCTCCAGCATATGTCTCTGTTAAAATGAAACAGTTTTTTGCTTATTACAATATAAAGCATATTACAGATATACCACATAATCCTACAGGCTAAGTAGTTATAGAAAGATCAAACAGAACTCCAAAGGATATGCTAAATAAACAGAAAGGGGTAACAAAAACCCCCAGAAATCAATTGCATAGTGCTCTATTAACTTTGAATTTTCTCAATGCTAATGAGAAAGGAACAACAGCTGCAGAGAGACATTGGATATTAGAAAAAACTACAGAATTAAATCAGCCTATATGCATTAAGGGTGTGCTGACCTCAGAATGGAAACCGGGGTATGTGTTACGTTGGGGACGAGATTTTGCTTTTGTTTCTACAGGAGAAGATAAGCTGTGGATGCCATCAAAATTGATAAAGGTTTGATTTGAACAAGAGAGACCTCTTAATTAGAAGAAGTGATAATTCATCAACCAGTATGACCATCCAAAATTTAATCTAGCTTATACCATTAACACATGGCATTTCATTTAATCAGATATAACTTGCCAAAAAGGAACCTCCCTAATCTTAGTCTTGGGGAAAGGTTTTTGTTTTTGTCTGTTAGGGAGAATGAAGGCTAAGGAATCTGAAGAACACTGGACAAATGAGACATTTGAAGAAAAAGGACAAATCATCTAGAAAAAATGTCCCAAGAAAAAGAGGAAATTTGCCTATTGGTATATCACATATAAAATTTCATAAGTCTTCCTAAATGTTTGTTTCTGCTCTTCTCTACAGACACTTAACACAAATGGTTCTTTTGTAGTCCCAGTACAATTAAAAATTAAACCTGGCTTTGGAGTTGGAGAATGGCTCTCTCCTTCTTTAAACTCAAGCATGTTGTTAGGAAAGGAAAATGTAAACTCTCTGTATCATGCCAGAAGAAAGAGCTATCTTCTAATATGGGACAGAAGAAAACAAAAGAAAAATTAAGGGACTATTCTATTGCTACTAATCTCAATTCCTTGATTCTATTTTGATTCTTTAAACTTTTCTTGAAGTATGAATTTTATATCAAAATTTATAAGATTAATATATATTTTAAACTTTTGTTATGATATTAATGGTCATATAGAATACTAACTAATTCTAGAAAAAGTCTTCAATTAGCTGCCTATACATGTTTTTGTGATTGAGTCTCTATCAGTTTTCTGCAGGAAATCACAACCAGGCCTAACATCAAATTTGAAGTCTCCAAAAAGATGATGGGGCCCCACAACAATGATTCCACATGGACAATAATAATACCACATCACCCATGGATCAGCTTTGGACTACAAACTGCTCAGAACAATTTCGAATTGGCTAGCTGAGATGATCCAGTTTCACAGACTACTTGAACAAGGACTTGAGATAAGCCCTGAACTTTGGCATTATGCAGAGACTGGACAACAAATGATATAGCCACCTTTCCTAGAACTTGACAATTAACCCCCAATTTTTCTTTTCAGAATAAAGATGCCTTTGCCCACAACCAGCAGGAAGCAATTTTAAGAACACAATGCCCACATTCCCAAAGAGATAGTGTGGGCAGGTGGTTTTTGGTCTTTCAATGAGGTTTGGATTTGGGATAATTTTCATTGTTTAGGAGGGTTGGTTACAAGTTGTTGTTAATGGTTAGGAAAAGGGCTAAGCAAAGGAGATTAGATTTAAGGTTCTCGTAAAAAAAAAAAAAAAGATGTATAGAAATGATAGATGGTAGATTATTGAATCTACTCTGAAAAGTAAAGAGAAGATATAGATATGATATAGATAAAAAGAATTGCCGGGCGGTGGTGGCGCACGCCTTTAATCCCAGCACTCGGGAGGCAGAGCCAGGCGGATCGCTGTGAGTTCGAGGCCAGCCTGGGCTACCAAGTGAGTTCCAGGAAAGGCGCAAAGCTACACAGAGAAACCCTGTCTCGAAAAACCAAAAAAAAAAAAAAAAAAAAAAAGAATCTACTTTTAAAAGACAATTACTAGTTTTAAATACTTTACATTGGATTGGATTTTTGTATATTGTATACAAATTATATATATTGAGATTGTTGAAAATGTTATATGTATATTTCTAATCTTGTTCAAGATATTGTACTTGAACAGTTCATTTAACAATGTAATGCAATTTGCTAATCCTTGAGTGTTATTATTACCAACTATTAGGCTATAAAGAAATGAAAGTAGTTACACATTACAATCGAACTTGTAGTTATATTAGGTATGTTTTTGAGGTTGAGCAGATATATTTTAGATAGACAGGTCTTCTTTTTTTTTTTTTTTTTTTTGGTTTTTCAAGACAGGGTTTCCCTGTGTAGCTTTTCACCTTTCCTGGAACTCACTTGGTAGCCCAGGCTGGCCTCGAACTCACAGAGATCCGCCTGACTCTGCCTCCCGAGTGCTGGGATTAAAGGCGTGCGCCACCACCGCCCGGCGTGGTCTTCTTAAAACCTTTCAGAGATCTGTAGATTATGGCATTTAAAATGTTTTAATAACTTAGAAATTTTTTCTTTCTTTCTTTCTTTTAATGACTATGAGACATGTTGGCTCCTGGCACCAATCTACTTCAGAGAAAATATGGGCATTGAAGAAATTGCATATGGAGTTAACTTTCATTGTGGCAAAAGTTAGCCACTGGACAACAAAGTGTCCTCAAATTGACTGCTGACAAACAGGACAAAAATGGACAGATAGGACACGAAACAAAGGACTACTGATTCTTGCCAAGACAAGTGTGGTGTGGCTTTAGCAACAGGCATCCTATGAGGTCAGGACAATATGGCACCATCCCTGAAGTGGCCTTTGCAATCCGGAAAAGGTACAGTGCCCCTTTCTTCAAAGGCAGCTGAACAGGCAGTGGGCCGATGGCTTCTGATGTGCAATGGAACAGCAGCTGAAACAGTTATTCTTTAAAGAGTAACTAGGCTAACAGAGTCTAACCTCTCAATGGTAGACTGGCATTTAATAAAAGAGATGAAGCTACCCATAAGCTGAGAAGAATGGGATGTGGAGAAGAATGGGATGCTGAGATGAAGCCACCCACAAGCCAAGAAGAATGGACATCTGAATTCCAAAAACACCAACAATTTCCAGAATTTAAAATTCTGAATCATGACAGGACACTGGTGGAATTCAGGTGTTTCTGGTACATGGACTGCTCTCACCAAATGTGAGGTCGAACTGTAGGCCTTGTGTACATCCTACTTCACAAGTCAGTCTGTCAGATATGCTAAGCCTATAGGGCTGAAGATGATGTCCCAATGCTGCGGAGAAACCTCGGGTGACTGTCCAGGCAGCTGGCTGTTTCTGTCAACTCACATTTTTTTTGGAAGCTGCTTGCTTGCACTTCCTGTTTTACTAGGTTACGTTATTTCCTTCTTGGGTCTCTGAGGGAATTGAAGATTAGATAGTTATAGTTATAGTTAGTTGAAGATTAGATAGTTATAGTTTTCCTTGTTAAGAATTTCAGAAAGAAACTCTCTAAAGAGGTATAAGTGTATAAATTTGAAAGACATTGTAAGATAGTTCTCTGTTAGTAATATAAGTTAAGATAAAAAGCGAATCAGGTACATTTTGGACTTATCAAAATAGGATAGATAATGGAATATTTTCTCTGAGTTTGTCAAATGCAAATGGACTAGACATTGTTGAGGTATTTATTGCTTGTATGTATTGTATATAAGTTATTGTACTTATTGTATATAGTTTTTCTTATATTAGTTGTAGATTTTTTTCTTTTTATTAGAATAAAAGAGGGAAAAGTGGTGATATTTTAATTGTGCCGAAATGTGATTTTATTTGTATGTTAATAAATAAAGTTTGCCTGGAGATCATAGGTCACATAGCGAGGTCACATAGCAAACCATAAGCAGAAGTCTGGCGGTGGTAGCACATGCCCTTAATCCAATCACATGGCAGGCAGAGTCTCTGTGTGGTCAAGGACACAGCGAAGCGTGGTGACACAAGCCTTTAATCTCAGTACCAACCATAGAGACCTGGAGGTCTGTATAGACAGGCAGTGATGAGGAAGTCATGTGGTTGAGCTTAGAGCCAATGAGAAAGCTGAACAGAAAGGCAATAAAAACACAAATCAGACAGGACTAAGCTCTCTCTGGGGAAGCGACGGTGGCCAGGTGGTAAGATAAGATAGTCGTGGCTCTCTGATCTCTTTGGCTATTTCCTTTGTGTTTGGCTCTGTGTTTTTTATTTACTAAGACTGTTTAGAATTTCGTCTACATTTGTCCTCCTTCAGTGTCCTGCACAGTCTGACCATCTCTGCTCTCTCCTTTCTCCTGTGTTTACCCTCTTTCTGGATCTCACTCTGAAACTGAGCCCAGGATTCTCTGGACTTCCATCCAGTGTCTTGTTCTCCCTACAAATAGTGGTTACCCTGGGTGTGTCTCATGCACCAGCTGCTGTGACCTGCTCTGCACCCATGTTTGGCAAATCTTTAGGGGGGAAGTTGGGGGGGGGCTCTGATGTTCCTCGGGACTGCAGACCTGCCTTTCCTGTCCCAGCTGTTCTCAGCCTATGAAGGAGGGCAGTTCCCTTCAACTGGTCCCTCTCAGCGACAGCACCCGCTGAGATGTGAGATGATGTTGATGGTAGTTATTTAGAGAACTCTGTCGTAGCATAGTGGGAAAAACATTCCTAAATAAGTTAGTGAACTTTGTCCTGAAGTAGGATTATATGTAGAGATTTTTCCTTCCTTCCTTCCTTCCTTCCTTCCTTCCTTCCTTCATTTCTTCTTTTGTTCCTTCTTTACTTACTTTCTTTCTTTTTTCTTTTCCTTTTCTGTCTTTCCTTCTCTCTCTCTCTCTCTCTCTCTCTCTCTCTCTCTCTCTCTCTCTCTCTCTCTGTCTCTGTCTTCTTCTCTTTTTTAAAAATTGTTTTCTAAGGCAGGGACGTAGTGGCACATGCCTTTAATCCCAGCACTTGGGAGACAGAGGCAGGCAGGTCTCTTTGAGTTCAAGGCCAGCCTAGTCTACAGAGCAAGTTCCAAGACAGGCTCCAAAGCTACACAGAGAAATGCTATCTTGAAAAAACAAAACAAAACAACAACAACAAATTACTTTCTAAGTGTGAATGATGAAATATACGACCAAATCTGCAATGATGTGCTGCTATTGAGGGGATTCAAAGGAACACGAAACAAGAATATGTCAGAAGCATTTTATGGGCCCTTTCACACAGGCTACGGGATGAAAAGGCTACCGTCCTGCATGGGTTCTCTAGCTCTGGGTGGTGACATTCATTTTATCAACTAGTTTGTTCATAAAGAAGCCAGATGACTTTAAAGTCAACAGGTGGTAGATATTAGGAGGAGCCAGGTCACACACATAAGTGTCATATTCTCATTTTGTTCTTCTTTTGTTATCTTGGAAAAACAATTTTGATAATATTAAAGTTATAGACCTAGAGAAAAAACTCCCATTTCTTCATTTTTAACATGACTCTAAAGAGCTCTGAGGTGGAAGCTGTGTAAGTGAGCAGCTGGGTACACAGCAGGGATTCAACAATGACCGCCCGTGAAGTGACAGAGACTGTGTACCATGAGAGACAAACGCAGTGTAGCTAAGCATCCACTGGGAAAATCCCACGATATGATAAACTGAACGTGAGATTTTAGTGAATGCTCTACCCACAGACTCACGAAACCCCGGCTATCAGAGCCTATCAAATCTGTTCTTTCTTCTTTCTTTTTGGTAAACCAATACTCTACAGAGCAGAAATAAAATGGAATTTCTTGTTCCCCAAAGTTGTAATTACCGCCTTTCATAAATCCATATGTATCATTTTTCATGCCAAAATCACGGCTTCTCTTCCAGAGAAAAGGTATGCTGCTTATGGAACATATATTAAAATATAAAGAGAGGGTTGCTAACTGTTTTAACTTAAATATTTGTCTGTGTATATAATTTTCAGGGAAGATCAGTTGGTATTAGATAATCATTTGGTATGCTTTTCCCTGGGGAAGACTTTCTCCAGCTTTTAGCAGTCTTAGTTATGTGTATTTCTTTATCTGGGATTGCTAACACGAACTGTGCAGGTTGTATTTGTGTGTTTAGGAATATATATCTACACATACATGCACACACATATATGTAACAACAATTAAAGAGAGGCCATGAATGTAAAAGTGCAGGGAGCTGAATGGTACATGAGAGGGTTTAGAAGAAGGAACGAGGAGGTTAAATTATGTAAGTCTATTAAGTCTCAAAAAGTAAGAAAGTATTCAAAAATTATCTACAACAAAACTAAAATGTATTGAAAATGAGTATTAAATATTGATAAAATAAATAAAGCATATAAGCCAATAAACAAAATACTAATAAATAAAACTGAAATAGAGAGTACAATAATGTTTTTAGGGCTAAGAATATTTTATCAAACTGATGCTAACATTTCAAGCTTTTTTCTGTACTGTAATGTCCCAGGAAAAGAATGAGACATCTTTACATACCACTTTAAAGCCAGAGGGGAAATTCATTCTTGGTATTTAGCTAAATAGACTCACCAAAGCTTATTTATGTTTAATGTTCTTAAACAAGTGGGTATGTCTTGGATAGAAGCACAGTTTACATTAGGTTTGGCTTGCTGAGGATGTTACATCATATCACACTCAAACAGCAGTACAAAAAGAAATTTGGTAGAAAAAGACCAAAATAGTATAAATACAGTGATTACGGGGTGTTTTGATCTTCTCTCCAGCCCCC